CGTCCCTCCGCTCTCATTCTTTCTCTCTTTCTTTTTTAAAGTGTGACTGAAACAAAACAAAGCCAAAGGGACGCTGGATCTATCATTGGTTGATTTTCCTCCTCCTTTTTTTTTATGATCAAAAACAACCCCCCACCCGAGCAAACAAACACACACAAAAGCAGAAAGAAAGGGTCTTGCTCAGCAGCAGCATGGATGTCTTGGCTAGTTATAGTATATTCCAGGAACTCCAGCTTGTCCACGACACCGGCTACTTCTCAGCTTTGCCATCCTTGGAGGAAAACTGGCAGCAGGTGAATCATTTAAATTACTCCTGTAAATCTCTTAAGCGCAGACAGTCGATGCATTGGGGCTGCATTTCTGACTTTATTTTATTTTTGTTCTTTGATTCAGGGTTGGTTTTTTTGGTGGGTTGTTTTTTTCTGCGTGTGTAGACCTTTAAATCTCTGTGTTTTTTGCCATGACAAACTGAGCAGTCCATTCAAATCTGTCTGCCTTCAGTCCTTTCTGAGCACACCTGGCAGCACCTGAGATCCAGTGGCATTCTGTAGTGTTTTGTTTTTATCATGACTACCATTTTTATTTTATTTTTGAGCTTAGAGGTTTTTTGGTTTGTTTTGTTCTTTTAAGCAAGGCTTATCACTTCCAGCCAGTGCTGACAACTGACAGCTGGTGGAAAAGGAATAGATCATTCCTATTTTCAGGTAATTAGTATATGTCAATAAAAATAGCTTAAATCAGAGATAGGGGTGGGCAGGTGTGTGGAAGCACTAGCAAAAGCTTTTAGGCTAAATTCTGTAACTAGGGAGGTGACTTATTTTCTGTTCTTTTTTTTTTTTCTCCTTTTTTTTTTTTAGAAGGTGGGGAGAAACACACACTTCTTGCTGTATCTTAAAACAATGACGCCTTAGGCTGTCCAGTAAACCAGTCTGTTTTGAGGGACCATAGCGTTAATATGCAGACAGAATTCGGATACTTTACAGATGGAAAGCAAGTATTACGAGTGCATTAAAATGATGACTGGTGGTGTGAATAAAGAAGACCAAGGAGAAGAGTAGGTTACAGGGAAAAGAGTTGTATAAAATGAACTATGAGCCCAAATGCGTAGATCTATAAATAGTTATCAGCTGAGATGCTGAGGAAGAAGGAAAGACAAGATTCCTCATTACGGCAGGACGTTATGAGACTATTCTGTTTCTTGATGTGGCTTTCTGGCAGAGGTAATACGCTGGGTGAAATTCTGGAAACTAGTGTCTCTTTAAAAAAAAAAAAAATCCACTGCTGAGGACTGATGCAGCGAGCGGACCCGTGGCACTATCAGTATACGAATCACAAGCCACTGGATTTCATCTTGCCAGCATTCACCTTAGTCTTGGCCAGCATAAGGGTAGCGTGTGTAAGGTCTCTAGTAAGTGACAGCTTGGGACGTTCCTTTAATTTTTGTTTAGAAGTGTGTGTGTGGAGAAATGTGGACAGTAGGGCTTCAGGGAAGTACTTGGGCTGTGGCGTTGTCATCCATCTGGACTGCGGCTGGACCTTTGAAGGTTTACCCTAGTAAAATTGTTTTGGCTGCAGCTTTGTGTGTGTATGTGCACACACATGAGAGGTTTATTGACAGATACAGTACGAACACATTTGGGATTTAGTTTACAGAATGACCGATCCAACTGTGCTTTATCCTCTCAGGGGGAGGGGATGCTTTTTGTTACTAATATTCAGCTTGCACATCCATGATGGTCACATCTGCTTTCCTTTTATATTTTTAACATGCTAATTAAACTGAAGAGGTTAATATAATTTCATTAAAAAGCCTAACTTCGTAGCATCATTGTTGTTGGATTGGTTGCATATTCAGTTGCATGTTAGTAATAGTCCAGACAGTCCAAAGCGAGATAATCTGTTGATATAGCCAGCATGCTTTAGGCAGTACTGTGTGTGATACTGTCTCCTGCTGCCTTTATGTGTAGAAGAGCAGCAGTTTATATATAGAGTACAATGTACCTATGCAAGCCCACTGTTACTATTGCAAAATTTGAACTCACACTCTCCTGTTTACACCCCACTGATTTTCCACATATGTTTGGAAAGCGAAGTTGAAAATAATTTGTTACAGTTTCCCATATTTACCCTCAAATTGTCCAACCAGTGCCTGATGTTTCATAATACATCCTGTATTTACAGTTTGTTTTTATTCCCCTGTTGCTGCCTGGACTTTCCTTGCAAACAACTGGGAGCAAAACTGTTGTATCGGTGGGAACAGCCAAAGCTGGCTGTACTAAGCACGCTGACACACAGGCTTGGCAGACCCACTGACACAGAGACCCCAATTTCATTCTGCATAATCACTTGCAAATATAACCAGGTCTTGGGGATTTATTTATTTTAGGCAAACCGTAACAACTTTGGGACAAGAGATGTATGTGCATGTATCTGTGTTTCTAAAGGTATCCCTTAAAACAGCCAGGCTGCAGTCAAGACCCCGGGGAGGAGAGCTGGCAGGGCAGTGACTGATCCCTGCGGGAAGAGTCAGCATTGGGAAGCAGCAGCTTTAATTTTGAGTGAAAATACTTGAATGGGTCTTGCCTCTGCTTCTGTGAAGATCTCTGCTGCCATACCCGACCTCCACAGAGGCTCCAGAGCAGTGCTTCTCCCAGCAGCAAAGCAGCACCCCGGCACTGAGATTAAAGGAAGAGGTGGTCTCTCTGCTTTGGAAAGTGAGGCATTCACTGTACGGCAGCTGGCTGACATCTGTATGTTTCTGGCTGGCGCTTCATCCTGGCTCTGGCTGAACTGTCCTAGTTGCTCTCTGTCCGTGCGAGCTGACTCTGCAGTTCAGGCCCCGGGCGGGGGGAGATTTCAGCCCCTGCATGGCTGCTGCGATGCAGCGGGAGGACCTCTGGCCACATATGCCCTTGCTGGGGAGTAGCTGTCTGATGTGGCATCCCCGAGATTGGAACCAGACTGCTGGGAGAGACAGCATGAAGCTGAAGAGCACCTCGTTACTATGCAGAGGAAGGAAGTGGGTAGGAGGCTGTTTTTGAGGGAGGCGACTGTGAGGAGCGTAGCCTGTGCAGCTGCACGTGGTCCCACTCTCAGTGTGTCAGACTGCAAAGAGGGGGAGGGCAGAGCTGAGAATTGGGAAGGGCTGGACATGAGGCTTCAGTCTGTTGTTCCTGCTGGGCCTTCACGGTGTCATCTGGGGGGGTCATTTAAAGATCAGTGTGCAGAAAGCATCTTTTGTAGTCAGATATGTCTCTTCCTAGGGGTAGCATTTCAAACCAACCCTATTATCCTTCTCCATAGGCCCCTTGGAGGACTCTGGACTCATCATCCTTGTGTGACGAAGGGGTCTGGTCAGGAGACAATTTGGGGCTCTCTTCATATTCTGTAGGGACCATAAGCCAACCTCTAGCATGGCAATTCCAGAATGACACAGCACAGGGGCACAAAGAGCAGGTAGATGCACAGGGTCACCATGTGTGTAGCTGATGCAGGTGTATAAAATCAGCAGGGCTTAGGTGCCAAGCCCTGGCTTATTCTAAAAGAGCTCGCCTTTCCCACGTGTCATCGGGCAGACCAGGTCTAATTGGCTGGCAGAAGTGGAAATGGGATTGTATTGTTTGCCTGATAACCATTGCCCGATAACATTTCCTCTTGCCTTGGCTGACCTGGCTGTTCTCAGCTGCAGCAAACAATGCTCCTTCCAAGGAAGATGCACGTTTCCCGTAAAGCACAGGATCAAGGAAGCCTTTGTTTCGCTCTTGACTCTGTCGTAGAGCCTTGTTTGCATATTTTTGATCAATTCTTCAAGCCTCAGTTTCCCCTCTTTCTGAAGTGACTGACAACAGTGGTGCTGAGGCATGGTCTCTGCGGCTTGGGAGGCCGAGTTTTTACCCATTGTGGTGAAGGGCTTTGAGATCCCTGTGCTGTGTGAGAGCAGAGTATGCCGAGGTGACTAATCTCGCAGAACTCTTACATCTTAATGCAGACTTCTGCTTGGCAGACAGGGTCGTTTTCAGGCCTATAGGAAAAATTTCCACTGCTACTGGAAAGGAATAAATCACACTGGAGAACATTCCTGCCTCCCCATCATCTCCATTGTTCTAGTTTAATGGCATAGTTGGCCACTACATAAACTAAACCATCTCTTTTAATATTGCTATTTCATCTTGGTTCCAGTCATAGTGTAACACATTTCTTAAGTGCTTATAGTACATCATGCCTCTTGAGAATAACTTGCAGAGATGGTTGACTTCCAAGAACAGCCACACATGTAATGCAGTGTATTTCAGACTCTGAGCACCGGTCCGTTTATACCTGCAGGCTCTCTGCTTGCTCCATGTGCTGAAAGCATGCTCCTGTCACCTTACAGAAAGAGATGGAGAAGGAGAGGAAAGACAAACTTCAAACTGCTGTCTCTGTTATTTCGTGATTCCTTAATTACAGAATCTGTTGTTTTAAGTGTTATTTCTTGGCATTATGAAAGCATAGCACCCTGCAATCCATGTTACAGGTCTTAAAATGGCTGATTATGTGTGTAACTTGTGTCAAGTGGTTTTGAAGTGGGGTAAATACCATTAAGCAATACACAATCATAATGTGGGTACTCAACTAGAAAATATTTTCTCGTATTTGTTTGGGATGCTTAAACCTCCCCTCCCCCAAGCCCACATGTATGTCCTACGGAATAGGCAATGCGTAGATTAGAGTAGGCTACATAAAAATCATGATACATAGCTAGTCTGCAATGTGATACTTCAGTGTGGAAATGGCAGAAGGTCTTCAGTTCCAGGCAGTAAAGTCACACTTCAGCTCTTCAGGGTGGAGACAAATGGTATCTTCTGGATATTGTCATATTTTTGGGGGCCTTGTCAAATGACTCTCCACTGAGAAACATCCAGTCTGTTGCTTCTCCATTCTGCATTGGGAAACATGTTATAGTGAAGTGGGAAGCTGCTTCTGTTTGACTCTGTAGCTCCATATGAACAACCTTGTTTGTGTTGTCCTTGTAAAACAGGGATTTTGCTCGCTGGCTGAGCAGCATTCGTATTCAGTACATTAAGCAATGGGGTAATAGTATACTTTATCTCCTATCGAGCTTGTCGCATTCTGCAGAGGGGAAGAACTTTTGATCACCACACTCAAAACATCATAAAAATTTATTCACAGGTATTGTAATTGGTGGCAGTTTTCCTTTCTGATGGTAAACCTGAATTCTGGAGAGTTAATAAAGGTGTTTTCAGGAATGGTGCCGAGTCCCTCTTACTTTCCTTTCTGTTTCTCTGGACTGTGA